AGTAAATAAAGAAGTAAAGCAAACAATTATCACTTCTAGTTACGACCTTTGTACTTGGTTGCTGCTTTTTTTTAGGTTTCTATATATATATATTTGAATAATTAAAAAATCGTAAATTACTACATTAATACCATAGAATTCCACTATAATTTATAATACTCAGTAACTGAGATGTATTTAGTAAAAAAAAATATGAAATATCGAGCAGACTATGAAACGTTGAAATATTGGTTCAAAAGAAATAAATAGTGCCAAGTTCGTTAAAATGGCTGAGAAGGCCACTAGGGGGACATTCTGAGCTTCCGATTGGTTATTAATATCATATAGAAGTAAGTGTATCTAAGGGAGCGTTTCCAAAAATGGAAAGAGGTGGGCGGGGTGGCACTGTGTTTGATTTATTACATGAGCAATATCTTAGCAAATTGAAAAGATAAGAGGCTCTTCTTTTATATTCTAGCTTGTCAATATCGGTAATTTGAGTTTCTAATTCGTATGAAGCTATAGACTTGGTATTATGACATCACAAACATCTAATTTGAACCAGTGCTGTATTCAACATACCACATGACACACAAAAATCAATGTTTATCTGTGTTTTTTAATACCTGTTTTGAAAATAAGAAATTGATTAATATATAGTACTAAAAGTTGAATTATAATCTGCAGTTTGATACCAAACTTACTGACATAAATTCATGAAATAGTAGTTCAATAAAATTTTGAGTGCAAGCCAACAAATGAGATGACATGGCCTTTCACCCGTGACCCATCTCGAAAGGATTAACTGATTATATTTCTTGACAATAAATGATGCTGATGGGTAATCATTTATATTGTTTACATTACTCACCCAGCTATACTCAATAGTTCTAACCATTATGTATAGCAGAATAAATATATGTGCTTACTTGTGGACATGAAACAAATCACTTAATCCCTCATGCATCTTCTATTTGTGTGCCAAGTTTTCTAAAACTAAGTATACAATCACTCCCATAAGTAATAAGATATTTAAGTATTAGTTAATAAATAAAAAAATATGATTCACATAATTATCTCGGGTATAAATTGAATTTCTGGTTCTCATTAGGACCTTCCTTTAGATCCAGAAGCTGAAGTGGAGTTCTATCATCAGTTGGGACCAGCTGTTGCTGCCAGTTGTGCAGGTGACACAATACTTATATTGCCTGGTTGCTACCACTGTGATGGGCTCAGTTGGTTAGACCACAACCTCATTATTAAAGGTCATTTTTCTTTAGTGTATAATTCTTTAAATATCATATTTCAGATATGATCTTACCTTGTGTTTGAGATGGCACACATTGGTAATTTTTTGTGTTCGTATTACCACATGATAATTTATAAACTTGTCATTATGTTAGGAAATGTTTGAAAGAAAGTTGACTTTAATTATGTGAAAAAAAATTGTTTTTCACTGTATTGATTTATGACTTTTATAAGAAAAATTTATTCAGTATTCTGTACTAAACTCTTGTATCTAGCAATCTTATAAAGACATAACTGGATAATGTACACAATATTTTAGTGGATATCTTAAAGGTTTTCTGAAGGTAAGAGTCAATTTATATCTTATTTATGCTGAGGGTAAATTGCACTTTATAAGAATGCATTTTATACATTAATGCAGTGGTGACACGTATATTTAGTTTGTGCTGAACTATTTTACATTGTAATATCATGATGCCCAGAAAATTCATCTGCATTCCTTCAGAAGAAAGTTAAATTTTTAGATGATTTAGAGCTAAAGCACACAAGATTTTCAAGGAGCCTTCAAAAATGGAGCATTTAGGACAGCTGTGAGCTTAGAAATCCCACCATAAGCCAGTCTCGTAGTGAAGGTTTGGGTTACGAAAGAGAACTTTCTGAACCAGAAAGAGTAATTGAAGTAAAGCTATTTATATCTCGTGGTATCATTAACAAAAAGATAATAAATTAGAATTTGAAGCTGAAGGCTTATAAACTTACAGCCATACCTTGAAATCAGTAGCTGTTGTTATAAGAAAGATGGTTGAAGACACTTGAGTCAATATCATTTGATTACATACCTGAAAAGTCACCCGAAGCAACTCCAATGGACATTTTTTTTTTGCTTAAATGTGGTTTTGAAAGCTAAATTGCAAGTAATGGGCAGTTTTTGTGAGGAGTGTCTCATGATGTGAAGTTTAAGATTGACTTTATTGTTCTTTGCAGAACTTTGTTACAACAGAAATTTTAGTATCACACAATATTGTTTAACCATGGCTAACAGGATGGGTATGACGTATAACTGATGGATCATATAGTTTTGGGGGCAGTGCAGGAACTGGAACATCATTTTTATAAAGAGCAATTAACCTTTAGAATTAATACTAGAATTACGTATCTTACACAATAACATTATTTTATGTGTATGTGTAATCTTTTGTGTTGTTAAAACCAGAAATATTTGTATGTTCCTTTTTTTCTTTTGTAATGATAAAATTAATTATTCTACTCAAGAATGTGGCATATAGGTGTCAAGATAATATAACTGTTATGCTACATTAAACATTAAAATATTGTGGAAAACTGTTACATCACTATTTACCAAATTTACTGTTTGCATGTTACACAGGGGTTAAATCGGAACAAGAAGTGGTTTTGGAGGATGTGGGAAATGGGGATATTTTTATCAATTGCAATGCTGAGAATTTGGTTCTAGAGAATCTTACCATTCAGCCATCAGAGGGTATTATTTGTGCTGTTATGGTGCATTCTGGGAAGACCAACATGAAAAATTGTACAGTTAAAGGAAAAGCAGCTCAGTCTTGTCTTGTAGTTCTTAGCACTGCTCAGATGTACCTGAAGACTTGTAAACTTATTGAGGCAAAGGTATGTGGACAATGATATGACAGTATTCAGTGGCCTGTGACATAAGGTATGTAAATAATGATAAACAATATTCTATCTCAATATCTTGTTACTGAAGGTACGTGGATGATATTCAGTAGGGATGCACGAGTACCCGGCCAGATATTCGGCCTTGGCCGGTTATTGAGCTACCCGGTAGTACTCAGCTCCGGCCAAGTGTTGAAGTTAAAAAACAACCAAATCCAGGTAATTGAAAATTGCATCTAAGCCCTAATCTTTGTGGCAACTTATGTGGTACTGAAAGTTACAGTCAATAATTGATTTACTTAAAAAAACATGTTCCGAGCAACAAAGACTGACCACCCGCTAAAAGTTGGGGATTCAGGCATGGCTTAAGAAGTAGATTTCTGGGAAAGGTGGGGGTTTTGGAAACAATTGGGGTTTGAGAAGTTGGGGCTAGGCATTAAACAGAATAATGATTCTAAAACGTGTCAACATCACTGTTTCTGTGTTTACTTTCGCTGGCCTCACTTTTGGAAGTCAAGTTATCTCTCCGCACCTCAGACCAGTGTAGCCAAGTGAATGGGCTTTTAGCACCACTGGCAACATTATCACACATGAAAGGTCAAGGCTTTTACCTAAAAACACTGAAATGCTACTGTTCCTCGAGTACAATTTAAACAAATTCCAAAAATTCAGGCATTCTGCAAACTGGTGTGCACATTTTTGTTAGTTAATTTTGAAATTTGAAAGTAAAAATTGGAATGTTCTATTGGTGATTATTCAGTTAAGTGCAATAAATGTCAATTTTGTTTTTGTTTCTAATTTTTGTGTATGTTGTTTTGGGGGGGGGGGCAACCCCTGCTGAAGCTTAGTGGCCAGGTACCCGACCCCGTATTTGGCCAAATTTTACTACCCGTGCATTCCTAGTATTCAGTGTTTTGTTAATGAAGGTATGTAAATAATGATAAGCAATATTGTATCTGAATATCTTGTCACTCTTAAAATGTGTGAATAATAATATAAAAGGTTTCAGTACCTTGCTGTAAAGTTATGTAGACAATGATATCGTTGTTTTCAATATTCATTAAACCACATCACCCAGATTTATAACAGGAGAGAGATTAATGCTTGACAGATAGAAATGGAATACCGATGAATGAGAACTGTTTTAACTGTATGATATGTTTTATTCTCAAGAGTCATGGAATACAGCTCCGGGCTGGGGGAAAGCTGACCCTTGATTCATCAAGTATAACACATTGTAATAGAAGTGGCCTTCAAATAGAACTGCTTTCTAGTTGTTCCACTGAAATAACCATTTTAAACACCACTATTGAGAATAACAAAAATTTTGCTATCTGTCTTGATGATCAGGGATACTATCAAACTAAAGATTCAGAGAAAGAAGTAGATTTGGACTTTTTGTACAAGTAAGTTTTCACAAGCGGTACTTTTGGTATTAATAAATGTTATTTTTAAGATGTAGTACACTTGCTTGAGGTTTGAGACCAATTTGTTGTAGCTGTACTTCAGGTAATAATGAATGTTACTGGTGAGATACAATACACCTTCTTGAGGTTTTACATGAGTTTTCTGTATCTGTATAGGTGGTATTAATAAATCTTATTGTTGCAATGAAATACACTTTTGAGCTTTGAGAAGAGTTTTCTGAACCTATACATCTGGTGTTCATGAATGTTATTATTGAGATCTAACACACTTTCTTGAGGATTGACATAAGTTTTCTATAGCTATGCTTCAGTTATTAATGAATGTTATTGTTGAGATGTAATACATTTTCCCGAGGCTTAATATTAGGCTTTTCATGCTACACGTTTGGTATCAAGAATTGTAAGCATTATGTAGTCATACAGTTTCTCAAAATTTAAAATTTCTTTTTTACATATATTTTGATATTATGATAAGTTTCCATTTTAAAACTGTTGGTTATTGTATTTCAAGTATAGATTAATAAGATATATGCATATATTGTCTTATACCATTAGATGTTCCCTATTGAAAGTAAAGATCCAAGGAGTGTTTCTATGTCACAATGCTCTAGGATCGTATGGCCTCTGTCACCAAGACATTCTCACTGAGTCTAGTCATCAAAGAACAACTGGATCTGTCACTCGTGCACTGCATTTTACTTCGTTGAGTAGTGATGACTCGATCAACGAGATTAGTAGTACTTCAACCAACTCGGACAAGTTGTTTGACGTAGAAAATCTTGAAAGTAAACAGTCTGATGATACTTCAAGTGAAGATGAACAAAAATGTGATGCAAAATCCCAAATAATGAAACAAATGGTACAGAAAAGTATTTCAGAAGCTTCTTCAAGTGCTACATCTCTCGTATGGTAACCCAACACGTTTTGTAAAACTCGACGAGTTTCAAGGAATGTAATTCTTGAAAGTTCCATGAAAATTAAAGTGCTCAGTTACTGCAGCTTTTTGTAATATTACTTGTATATGTTCAGTTACTGGAGCTTTTTGTAATATTACTTGTATATGGTCAGTTACTGCAGCTTTTTGTAATATTACTTGTATATATGTTCAGTTACTGTAGCTTTTTGTAGTATTACTTGTATATGTTCAGTTACTGCAGCTTTTTATAATATTACTTGTATATGTTCAGTTACTGCAGCTTTTTGTAATATTACTTTTATATTATGATTTATGTAAAACTCACTGAGTTTCAACGAAGTGTAATCCTTGATGAAAGTTCCATGAAAATTAGTGTTCAGTTCATGTAACCTTTTGTAATATTACTTTTATATGTTCAGTTACTGCAGCTTTTTGTAATATATTTGTATATTATGATTTTATAAATATCCCAAAACTATTCAGTGTACTGTAATAATGAAACTTGTCATTGTGAGATACCATGAATCAAATGTTTCTATAATGTTTTGTTACTACAAGTTTTAAGTGTAACTTTACTTGAAAAGCTATGTGCTTGTTATTTTGTAGTTGTTCAATTCATGTGCTAGATTCTCTTTTTTGTGTAACTCATTTAATCTTTAGCTATAGATAATGGAAGATGGTGTTTTTTTTATAATACAAATGTACTTGTATGGTTTAAGAGGAGAGCAATTTTTGAAAAATATAAGAACCAAATAAAAGTGAAAAAATTAGCATGAAATCTGTGTTTTTGGGGGGGGGGGGGGTTAACCTTAGAAATTACTTATGTATAATATAACAAGAATTAGCAAATTAGATCCAGTTAATTTCCTTAGTAAAAGTTTATTATAAAATTATGTTTTACTGTGGTTTCTGTTACTTTTGTGGAAATCTACAAGCATCAGTATGCATCAGATCAAAGTATTTAAACTAAATTTATCTAAATGAAATATGAACTGTGATAATTTTTTTACACTGATATTCTATTGGAAGTAAAAGTTTTGTATTAACTCTGTAGTGACTAATTTCATTAAAGTATCTCAGCATATTTGCACATAAGAATAATTCAAAACATGCAATGGCCCAGAAATATGTGAGACACTAGTAGTTTGAAAACAGTACACAGAAGTATGATGTGTGACACTAGTAGTTTGAAAACAGTAAACAGAAGTATGATGTGTGACACTAGTAGTTTGAAAACAGTAAACAGAAGTATGATGTGTGACACTAGTAGTTTGGAAACAGTAAACAGAAGTATGATGTGTGACACTAGTAGTTTGAAAACAGTACACAGAAGTATGTGTGACACTAGTCGTTTGAAAACAGTAAACAGAAGTATGATGTGTGATACTAGTAGTTTGAAAACAGTAAACAGAAGTATGATGTGTGACACTAGTAGTTTGCAAACAGTACACAGAAGTATGATGTGTGACACTAGTAGTTTGAAAACAGTAAACAGAAGTATGAAGTGTGACACTAGTAGTTTGAAAACAGTACACAGAAGTATGATGTGTGACACTAGTAGTTTGAAAACAGAAGTATGAAGTGTGACACTAGTAGTTTGAAAACAGAAGTATGAAGTGTGACACTAGTAGCTTGAAAACAGTAAACAGAAGTATGATGTGTGACACTAGTAGTTTGAAAACAGAAGTAAGAAGTGTGACACTAGTAGTTTGAAAACAGAAGTATGAAGTGTGACACTAGTAGTTTGAAAACAGTAAACAGAACTATGATGTGTGACACTAGTAGCTTGAAAACAGCATGCGTTTTACTATTTAGAAACAATCGAGTTTGATAGAATGTTACATGGAAACACTAGAAGTACTATAGTATACAATTTGTAGGTGCAGTGGACGAGCTGCCTTTTCCCCAATCTCAGTTCAAAATCGGGGATAGCTAGCATAGATAAGCCTTGAATAGTTTTGCACAACCATTAGAAAAGAACAACATACCAGTTGTGAGAGAAGATCAAGTCTTGTAGCAGATGGTAATATAAATATCTGACATCAAATCACCACACCTTAAACTTCAAATTCTATGTTGAAGTCGAAAACCCAAAGCTATCTTTAACTGTAGACTCGCTACTCTTATGTTCACGAAGGCAACTACAAAACTAATTAGTTTACGATAGTAAGTACCAAAATTTAGAACTATTGGTCCTACAGAAATATTCTGCTGGTGAATTTGCTGTAAACCGTACATGAGAACGATCTGGTCTAATTCCCTTGTACACATTTTCGCTTATGGTTTTGTTCTTATATGTCGTGGGGTGTATTTCTCAGGTTCTGTAAAGACGGCAAAGCTAAAGTACTAATACAAGTTCTCAGTGTCCAAGTTTTGATCAGTATAAGGAGATACAAGGTAATCCTTTAAACGTCTTGACAAATTTTTAGAGGAATAATTGTCAAAGCCCCAAAGATTTGTTAATTATAGATTGGTTTACCACTTTATTACATTTTTCTCAACTAAATTATTCAACGAATAAAATGCATCTTCGATACAGAATTCTCTAAAACTGGCAAAGGTTTAAATAACGTAATTAATCCCATTTTTCAGAAACAATGTTTCACTGTAATATCCTGATTTGAGAATTATCGATGATGAAACTTTAGTTAAGAAACACGAAATAATTTGATAAATCGATATTGTTTCAAAAATTCTTACGAATATACTTGCATCTTAAAATCTGAATGAATGATTTAATGTTAGGAAGACCTAACGCAGAACAAATGTATATATATATTTAATATTATTTGACTTTATGATTGAAAAGAGTAAACTATTCAAAGGTAAGGCATAGTGATAAACGTGACTGACTAAATCTATGAGCTGTGGGTGCGTTATAAGAGTGACGGTCAGACCCCACTGTTCAATGAGAGTTGGGGTGTAAGCTGCTAATTAGTTGTGTTTCCTTTAGTCTATCAGTCCAAAATTAGGGACGGTTAGCATAAGTATCTGAAACAAGCCAACTTTTAAGTGTTTGTGTTTTCTTATAACAAAGCAACATCCGGCTATCTGCTATGTCCACAAAGGGGAATCGAACCTCTGATTTTAGCGTTGTAACTCCGAAGACATACCGCTGGGGTACTTCTATTTCCATTTTCCTCATTAAACTTCCAGCAGTTTATCAAAAATTGCAACTTGAACGTTTTAAATTTCAAGCAGAAATAACTGGTAAGCTAAATGCAACAGCCAACTACAATTATACTGCTGTAAGCTATATTTTTAATATTTTGATGTAGATTTTTGCTAGAGGGGGCTAACGATGACATTGTACTAGCTACCTTCTCATTTAGCAAAAACACAATTAATTTATTACAATAGAGTATGTTCTGGAAATAGTAGACATGTACTGCAATATATTTTGTAAAAAATGAACATTTGGAAGAAACGGAGGTGGTAGAATATCTAGAGTTTGGTAACAAAAGCACACTACTGTATATTGTATAAACTGACTTATTACAGCGCAGTTAGGTATCAAGAGACATAGTTGAAATGAATTAAGTTTGGGTTAAAGATTTTGTTTGTTGAATTTCACAAAAAGCTACTCGAGGCCTATCCGAGTTAACTGTCTTTCATTTTGAAGTGAGATTAAAGGGAAGGCAGCCTGTTAACTTCATGTACCGTCAACTCGTGGGCTACTTTAATCAAAAGTGAGATTTCATCATTATTCTTTAAACGTACACTTGAGCCCAGTTGAGGAGTGTGATTATATATATATAAGTAGTTATCCCCCCACTTGCACGACAAGCCAGTAGAGGGCGCTACACATCAAAGACGATGACGTCACATTTTCACGAGAGTGCTCGTTGCTAGGCGGCCATGACGTAATAGTTCCAAGAAGTGGGACCAGCATAACATGTCTCAACATTAATATATTTAATTGGTATAAAACACAAATTCATTAATTAATTAATTTTTTCAAACCGTTTAAATCGTCCTAGAAAGGACACTTATCACTAAATTATTAATTACATTTCCTGACCACTTAAATCGTCTAAAAGGACGATATCATGAAAAAATTAAAAATTACTGTTTGATATCTCAACATGACTATATTTAATACAAGCTGTTTGAAACACTAATTTATTAGTTCCATACATTTCCTGACCATTTAAATCGTCCTAAAAAGAACTCTTATCACTAATTTATTAATTACCTTTCCTGACCATTTATATTTAAATTGTCCTAAAAGGATGATAGCTTGAAATAATTAAAACTTACTGTTTGACTCTTTAATTATTAATCAAGTAATTATTTAAAAGATTTTCTGGCACATATTTAATATGCAAGACAAAATATTTCATTTTACACATAATATATTTATAGTTTTATCTCATGTTTTACAAAGGTGGATGGTGCTATACATATATATCGTGTTATTAAAGCAAATTGTTTTTTCAATGTGTCTCAACATGCATCATCAATAAAACGGTTATCAAATATTATGCAATAATTAAATTTACACTTTCACTAATTTGACTTAATGCTATAACTTAGCAAAATATTTCATTTTACACATGATACTTTATAGTCTTATCATATACGAGTTTTACAAAGGCAGACACTATACTTTCACATATGATCAATGTCTATATTTAATTATGTTAAAACCATTAGTTTAATGACTGTCTGTAGAATTTTAACAAATATACTGTGACAGTGTTACTATACTTCCACATGTGATTACGTTATCATTGTCTAGATTTAATTATGTTACAACCATTATTTTGCATATCTTAACATTTGTACTACTTCATTTTGCTACAACTAAAAATAATAAATGAATGACTTACTGTTTATCCATCCATTTTCTATAGAAGATTAAAAGTGCATAAAATTTTGAGTCTGTCTAATGCTCTTAGGAAACACACCTCCAAACCTTTTTGCATACAAAAATATTGTTAAAGTATGGAATACATTTCTAAACTGTACATAGCTTCTTTCAGAAAATGTTCTGTAGGACACCTGTTATTTCTCCATTTTCTATCAAAAGTTTGCAAAACTAATTAACTCTTAAACCCATATGATCTCGAACTGACTTCAAGCTAGTTAAACTTTCATGCAAAGTTAATCACGTGGTCACACACGTTCAGACAGTTATTCTATGAAGGAAGGATTATGACATCATTTTCTCAACATGTCATCAAAAACTAGATTTAATCATATGTAAAACATTATTCTACTGTACACAAAACCATGGTGGAAATACTGACCACGTCATTATTGTCCACCAACCTTTAACTCAACATACAGTTTACCAAGTCTGACGTATTCAAGGCCATTAGCCAACTTGGTTTTAGAAAATATATAGGACGAAGCTTCAAGTTTAGAAAAACCTTTAGTGTTAGTTAAACCTTGACTATTAGGAAATAAGTCATGTGGCTAAGGCAAAAGTGATCTTGTGTTTGTCTATAGTTCATTATATAGTAATACACTAACTCACTTCTTCTCATAGCCTAATATAATTTTAGTATATGTAATACACTATTTACGAAAACATCTTAGTTTATAAAATACTGACTTTCAGTCCAATATCTGCGGTATATACTTGTTTTAGAACGTTATTAGTCACAAAGAATACATTACCACAATACCAAAATTGAATTGATAATCATAATAGTAAAAGAACCTTTATTTATAAATAAAGTAATTGTTCTTTGACTATCTCAAATTTTGAAATTGTTACCGTGTCATGAAATATATTCCATTTACGCTTTATAGATAGATAATGAAATGAATAAAAATCATCAGTTACAAATCGATATTCTGTAAAGTTTCTTATACAAAACTCACTTCTCATCATAGACTAATATATTATCTTTAGTATATGTAAGTAAAATTTCAAACTTAAGTACAACACATACTGAGATATTTGTTAACAAAACTTCAAG